TGTTGTTCTTGGAATTTACATAATTTTGTAACAATAATTTTCATTTTTAATAAGTAATGTGCTTTGTTACGTAATCAAGAAATGCCTAATTTTATAATAATGTGGTAAAGAAATATTTAGCATTTCTTAAGAATTTTTTTTTTTCAAAGTGTTCATATTATTGTTGTGCTTAAACTTAAATTGGATTGTCATTATTACGAAGTCATTAGTTTTGTAATCGAGAAATGATTTTCCTTCAGAAGATTTTGATACATTTTGTGAAGGAATTTTTCACAGCTTTATTCACAAGAAATCTGCTTTATTCGTTTTGCCTTTTAAGTTTTGTGCTTCCTGATCGAGGTTATGACGTGATGACTCTGCTTGGTTTTGATATTAGGTTGCTGATTTTTACCAATTAAGCATTTAGTTGAATATTCTTCTTGAAGATTTTCCTCAGATCAGAATGATTTTTAGTAGAATTTAGCATCACAAGTTTTGCTTAATTCTTTTATAAATAATAGAAAATAATTTCGGATTCAAAAGAATATGCTGATGTAAATAATCTGAATTAAACTTGAACACAACATCAGAAAATAATAGAGATGATCAAGATCACTGTAATACATGTTGTTTTCTATGTCCCAAAAAAATAATAAAACTTCTTGAAAAATCCATGAAACTCTGAGAGTCATCTGATTTGTCTGTTTAGTGTTTATCCTAGTTGGGAAGAAGTGAGAATGTTAAAGGTACAGGATAAACTCCAAGGCTTTAGGTATGACAGAATGATATTACTGCATCAAATCATCTCTGTCAAACAAACAATTATAATACTGACACGTTTGATCAGCAGGATAATCTCCACAGATTAACACCACTCTGAAGTAAGAAGCTAACATTAGGCTATAAAGGAACTACAGCATGGTCACATGACTTCACGTCACCACCGCTAAACTAAAGGAGGCTAATGTTGGGCTATAAAGGAACTACAGCACGGTCACATGACTTCACGTCACCACCGCTAAACTAAAGGAGGCTAATGTTGGGCTATAAAGGAACTACAGCACGGTCACATGACTTCACGTCACCACCGCTAAGCTAAAGGAGGCTAATGTTGGGCTATAAAGGAACTACAGCACGGTCACATGACATTACGTCACCACCGCTAAGCTAAAGGCGGCTAATGTTGGGCTATAAAATAACTACAGCACGGTCACATGACTTCACGTCACCACCGCTAAGCTAAAGGTGGCTAACGTTGGGAGGGATGACGTTTAGTTTTCTCGTTTAGACACCTGTAAGTAACCGCCTTTTTTTATACCAGTAGGGTGTTATCTGAGGTATTTTATGTGGTAGAACAAAACGTGAACATTTGATAAGCTTGTCTTCGAGAGGAGGAACAGTAATTGGTTAGTTGCCTCATTAAAGACGTATTGCTGCACTGCTCTAGCCCGTAAATGAATTCAGGAAAAAGTGAAACAGTGAAACCGTACTGGGTGTTGTCGCTGACGTCTTTTTCGAGGTAGATAATCTCGGTCAGAGCCAGGTTCATCAGGCTCTCTTCGTTCAGTAGGTCTCCGATCATCCTAATCGCCTCCGGACTCAAGTCACCTTCTGCATTCAGATACTCCTGGGAAACAGATGTTTTCTACATTATAGTCATTATCTTTAAATATTCTGTCTTTCATCAAAACAAAAAGTGTTCTACCCTTGCATTGGAAGTACATCAAATAAATTACGAATTAAAATTACATTTACCTCCAAAGAGTAGTGGTCGTACTTCTGTAGCGCAGCTATGCAGCCATGTGCCTTCACTTCATCATTCACCTAGAGAGATATCTCAGCTGTTATTTGTTATTTATCTGCATATTGTGGGTGAGGACAAATACCAAGCAATAATAGATTTAAAAAATCATAGAAAATCTGTGTAGCAATTATTCAATATTGAATATTCTCTTTTGTGATATTGGGTAAATTCATTTGCCATTGTTGTTATTATTATTATCATTATTTTTTATTTTTTTACTTTTATATATTATCTTATTACAATTATTACTAGTATTATTATTCCATTGTATTGTATTTATGTGCAATGTACCTTCTGCAGAGCCGTCTGCAGCAGCTTGTCTGCAGACTTCCCCCTCTCGCCTTCCGACACGTTATACTTCAAGATGTTTGGATCAGCCTTCACAGCGGATGTCCTCTTCTTCTTCAGCCCGTTCACCAGGAAGAAAGTGTTCTCGTTCACCAGGACGAATGGATTCAACTTCACCCCCAGTTCTTTAATAAACCACCGGAGGATGCTGCCAACAGATGCATTTACTTAAAGGTCTCATATCATGCAAAATGCAATTTTTGATGTATTTTCTACATGTGTCCCCGGTGTGTCCCCGGTGTGTCAGGAGACTCACAAAGTGTCAGAGAATCAAACCCTCTCTCTTCTCCTCCGTACCCACATCTCTAAAAAC